CTTTCCAGTGCATCTCTTCTAAACCCATTCATATTGCCAGATGTTTTTCGTTTTGTTTTGTTTCGGCTTCCTCCCCCCTCCCCTCCTGTTACATGTTTTTGACAGTTTTAAAGGGTGCCATCTTTCGGCTCTTGTCATTTCCTTGTTCTGTTTCAAATGAGATCAATAAAAAGTGCTTTAAAGTTGCTTTTTTCCCCTCACTTGCCCTCTGGCATCTCAAGTGGATTTAAATATTTTGGGGTGTAAAATAATAATAATAATAATAATAATAATAATAATAATAATGCCACAAGTAAGTCAGAAGAAGAAGACAATACGGGGTAAATCTCTCATGCCTTCCACCCCATAAACCACACAAACGCTTTCCAGACCACTTCTAGTCTAGATAATCTAGAAGCAATATTATTTCAGGCTATGCTCTAGTTTATTTCTAGCTATAATTTTCTAATAAATAAAAATAGGGAGGTCAGAATGCTGGATAATAGTAACATCGATACAGGTGGAGCATCTATTGATGAGATTCTTGTGTTTATAGCAATGGTATGGAGATCCCATGTGGCTTTACATCTTGTGTGTTATGGCAATGGTTCCCAAATTTTGGTTTTCCAGTCATTTTGGAGTTCAGTCCCCAGGAGCGGCAGCCAACAGTGCCAGCAGCCAAGAATTCTGGGAGCTGAAGTCCAAAACATCTGGAGGAGCAAAGCTTGGGAAGGACTGGTGAAGGGTAAATATCTGCAGTTATGCTTCCATTACACAATCCCTATACAGTGGTCCCTCCACATTTGCTAGGGTTAGGGGTGAAAGGCCCCCTGTCAATGTGAAAAAATAAATTAATTAAAAAACACTATTCTTTTTACTTAGGAGAACACCTCTCTAGGAATCTCCAGGTCCTCCAGTGGTCAACATCTGCCAAAAGTGGATCCTAGAATTGTGCTGGAGGACCTACAGATGCCTACAGAAGTGTTTTCTCTAGGGTCTTCTAGGTTCTCCAGCGCAACTCTATGGTCAACGTCTGGCAGAATTGCGCTGGAGGACTTAAGAGATACCTAGAGAGAACGTATCAATCAGATTCGCAAAAGTCAAAGCTGCAAATGTGGAGGGCCAGCTGTACTGAATACCAGAGCCAGTGTAGCGGTTTGAGTATTGGACTCTGGAGACCAGGATTCAAATCCCCCCTTGAGCATAAAAACCCATGGGATGACTGAGTAAGTCATACTCTCTCAGCCTCGACGGATGGCTATGCCAAACCCCCTCCGAAGAAACCTTCCAAGAAAACCTTATGATAGGTTTGCCTTAGGGTTGCCATAAATCAAAAATGACTCCAAAACACACAACAAATCCGGAATAGCTTAACATGTGAATTGACAATGCATCTTGCTGACAAGCTGTTGTGCAGTTTTAATGTAGAGGCTGTGTGTAGAGTGATGATGGGCCTTGTGTGTTCAACTCTGGTTATAGCATATACCATCGTCCCTTCAGTATGACCATCCCCATCACTCCACATGCGTCCTGCGATTTATGTCTGACTTCTTTACAGCAACCCAATACCAGGTGATTTTATTTCTCCAGCCCTCCTTCACTACCCTAATGGTAAATGCTGCTGACAAGGTTTCCAAACAGACAAGAAGGAAATGTGGGGATGTGAAGGACATAAAAAGACTTTGTGAAAAGGATCTTCTTTGTCAGAGGCTCTGTTAACTGAGCTATGCCTATATATGCAAGAAAAAGAATGCAAAGGGATCTTGCGGTACCTTTTGAGACGGAAGTGCAAAAGAAGCCAAAGATATAGCCATGTTAGTCTGTAGAATCAGTCTATAGAGAGATCTTGTAGCATCTTTGAGACTAACTAAAAGTCGGCAGCATGAGCTTTCATAGACTTAAATCTACTTCCTCAGATGCTTTTAGACCCAATGCATCTGAGGAAGGAGACTTAAGTCTACGAAAGCTCACGCTGCCAACTTCTTGCAGTCCATCTCAAAGGTGCTACAAGATCTCTTTACATACTGCAAAAGAAGTTGTAGCAGAAGCGTTCATAGACTTGGTCCGCTTTCTTGGATGCAAGAAAGGCAAGAAATGTCAACAGAGCTATGAGATTTCCTCATCCAAAGAAAAGACAATTCTCATTTTTTCCCCTCAACCCTCTAAGGATGCATCCACACTGTAGAAATAATGCAGTTTTGACAATGCTTGAAGGGCCATAGCTCCGAAATCTGGTAGTTTTATAAGGTCTTCTGCCTTCTCTACCAAAGAGTGCAGTGCCTTGGCAAACTACATATCCCAGGTTTCTGTAGGATGGAGCCACGGCAGTTAAAAGTGGTGTCCAAGTGGTTAATTTCTACAGTGTGGATGCATCCGAAGAAGTTGGAAGGACTCAACCAGATTGAGTTTGATGGTGGAGTCTGGAAGGACAGGCAATGCTTTCTCTCCCAAATAAAAGGAACCAGTAAAGACCGCTATGCTGGAGAAATTGGAAAGTAACTCACCTGGCTGTTGGTTTTGAAAGTAACTCACCTGGCTGTTGGTTTTGAGTAAGCTGACCAACAACAGCTGAGAGAGGGTGGGGACTGTAGGAAGAACACTTATAAAAACTAGCCAGAAAGTTGAACAGAGAAGCTTGGTTTTTACTGGTCTGGTAGGATTAGACTAAGGAGTTGGAGAAAGTCCTGGACAATGCAAGAGGTAAGTGCAATGGTAACCAGCTTTCCATCAAAGCTTCTTTCTAGGTTGCAGCAGCCATGAACTGGAAATGACTCCAAGGCACACAACAATCCCAATGAAAAAATGGCCAGCAAAGTGGCCAAGGGACTGTGAACCTGGCCAACAGATGAGTTATCGAATGGTTTGGAATGTCTCATTCTGTGCAGTGCTAGGAATTGGGAGACTGAAGGGACATTTTATGGGGAGGTGTTATACAATCCTCCATATCCATGGATTTTTATTCACAGAGTCAATCATCCAGGGCTTGGAAATATGCTAAATATATACATAAATTCCAAAAAGGGAACATTGACTTTACCATTTTATACAGGGGACACCATTTCTCTGGATGGCCAATGTAGCGTAGTGGTTTGAGTGTTAAAATATGACTCTGGAGACCGGGTCTCAATTCCCAGCTTGGCCATGCAACCCATGGGGTGACTTTGTGCAAGTCACACACTCTCAGCCTCAGGGGAAGGCCAGGACAAACCTCCCCTGAACCAATCTTTCTAAGAAAACCCCATGATAGCTTCACCTTAGCGTTGCCATATGCTGGAAATGTCTTGAAGGCACACAACACAGATACCATTTCACTATGCCATTGTGTGTGATGAGAATTGAGGATCTATGGATTTTAGTATTCATGAGGTGTCTTGGTACCAAACCCCAGCGGATGCCAAGGACCCATTGTAATTCTTATTTTTGGGGGGTGGACAGTGCCTTCGTATCCTTCCCCTTCCCACCAACAGCTATACCTCTGTTATTGCAGCCTTGCTTGGCTGTGAATTTTTGAACTGGTGCCTTATTAATTGGCTTCCTAATAATCTGGTTTAGATTAATGCTTATTCTTTTTTTAATGGACTTTCCAGCACTTTGGGGAATGAGTAGAGAAAGGCCTTGGTGACCTCTGTTTGGGCAGCTCTTCTTTGGGGGAAGGCTTGCAAGGCAGAAGGAGGAGGAGATCTAGAGACAAGATCAGCTTTTTAGCTTTGGGAAGGAAGCAAGAAAGTCTTTGTGGGAAGAAACTTAATAGCTCCGTATTCTCTGGAGTTAGCAAGTGTTGCCTCATACCTTCTAGCTGGCAGGGACAGTCCCAAAAAACCCTCCATTCCTCCCCTTTTTCAGC